CCCGAGCCAGTGGGGTAAGGCCTCAATGGTGTTCGGATGAGGTATGGGAAAACCTCGTCCGCCACTGGTCTTCGGATCCGACTTTCTTGGCTAGAAGCGAAGCCGGGAAGAAAAATCGGATGTCCGAAAAGGCATTGACGACACAATGGCACGGAGGCCGCAAACCCCAGAGTAAACATAAAGAAGCTCTTGTAAGTCTTATTCAAATAAACCTACACCATTTTAACCTTTTATTTTTTTACATTTATTTAAACCTTTTTCTAACCTTGTAGGCGGGGCCTCAAAAGAAGAGGGTCCCTATCCTCAGTATAATCAAACACTGTTGGACGAAGAGCGGTGTTGAGTCGCCAGCCAATCTACCACCCCGCCTTGCTGAAATCGAAGTATGTAACATCAATACTATTATTTCAAATTGAAGTAAATATCATTTGAATAATTTTTTTAAATGTTTGTAGACAAAGTATAACGCAAATGTTGAAAAGAAGCGGGCGGAACTTGGCTTGACTCAAGAAGATGACATCGATTCTGATGTGGAAGATGATGCCATCCTTGAGGCAACATGGGTGTACAAGGGTCGGCTTCCATGCCTCGGGGCTGAGGGGCAACGTATTTTGTACGATCGCAGCGGCAACGGAGCTTCATCATCTTCTCAATCTAGGCGAGGAGAGGATCCACGCATTGCCCAATTGCAGCAAGAATTGGAGGAGCAGCAGCGTGCATTTGAACAGCAACGGAAGAATGATGAAGAAACGAGGGTCTGGCTGGAAGCAATGGAACGGATCCTTGCTGGATATCAGCCTCCGCCTCAGCCTCATCCTCGGCCGTACATTATGCACGTTGAGCAGACTCCTCAGGTTCCGCACATGGGTGATATGGGTTACCACTCTAACTCCGGTTATGGTGCCATGCCTGCAATAGGGTCGACATTCGGATCTCTGTCGCCTGATATGCTCAATCAGTTTCAGTCATCGGGTGGAGGCAGCCGAGGAAGCCATCGAGGAAGCCACCGAGGAAGCCACCGAGGGAGCAACCTAGGAGGCAATCGAGGAGGCAACCGAGGCAGCCGAGGAAGTTCCCGAACCTTGGACACCGTGGATGCAGAAGAGGATCATCATCGTGACTATGATGACAATGATGATGAATACGATTATGATGATTCTAATTTTTATCACAATGGAGTCCGACGTACGGGCATGTAATTACATTATATTGTTTGACATTGTATGGATTTTGTTTTTATAATTCTGTCTGTAATAACATTTTTTATGTTTAAGATCGTATGGAATTTATTTTTATTGTAATTGCTCTAAAATAAAATTAAAATAATTTTTTATTTTTTTATAAAAATTGTTTTTTTTTTAAATCAAAAACATTAGTCACGGACTAAATCCGTGACTACTTTTTAATCCGGAATAAATTCAATTTTCGTTTTTTTATTTTTTTTATTTAAAATTGTTTTTTTTTAAAAACAAAAACATTAGTCACGGACCAGATCCGTGACTACATTTTATCCGGAATAAATTCAATTTTTTTAAATTTATTATAGTCACGGATACGTCCGTGACTACCACAAAAATAAAAAAAATTTAAATTGAACTTAGTCACGGCTCGTGTCCGTGACTAACTCAAAAATTTTTTAAATTAAAGGTAGTCACGGATATGGTCCATGACTAACGTGCCGGAGACTTATTCCGGTCAAGATGTAGTCACGGACTTCGATCCGTGACTAATCCGTGACTACACCTAGTCACGGACCATTGGCCGTGACTACATTCTAGTCACGCAGAACTAGTCACTGAACTAGTCACGGACGAATTCCGTGACTAAAAGTGTTAGTCACGGACTTTTTACACTACGGTCCGTGACTAAGTCCGTGACTACAGGCGAATTTTTTTGTAGTGTTATTCCAACTTTTTTTGTGACAACCCTGTGTCCCTGTTTGCGGTAGGCATGACAATGGGATGGGGTGGGTACTGCAAGACCCAAACCCGCCCCGTGAATTGGCGGGATGGGTCCGCCCCGCCCCGTGACCTGCACGGGTCCAAATTTTTTGAACCATGACCCGCCCCATGCAGGGCGGGTCCGCCCCGCCCCGCCCCGCTGTAACCTAATTAGCTAGTATGTATTTTTATTTGTGTCAAGTTGTTATCAATTGAATCTACATAAAATACATCTCTAAATAATAATTAAAAATTAATATTAAATCAAATTCATGATACCCTAAAAATTTCAAAAATTAAGAAAAAATTACTCAGACTTGAATAGTTAATCTATTAAATTATTTATACTAACAATTGAACATATGTATTAAAATACTATATATAAAGAAGACATTGATAATCCGTCGTACATCTCATTCTAATATATGTATTAATACATTATAAGATCAAAGAATTTATGATTTACTATATACACACATATGTATGATGAAGTATATTTGTAGTATAATTTAAGAAAAAATATGTATGTTTATGTATTGAGCGGGTCGGGTCAAGACGGCACGGGTCAATACTAATACCCGGACCCACCCCATTGTATAGCTAGGCGGGGCGGGGCGGACCCGCCCCATTTGGAAGACGGGCCGGACCGGACCCGCCCCAATTGTCTCGGGCCAGGGCGGGTCACTGCGGGTCTGTTTTTTTGACATCCCTAGTCTGCGGCCTGACTTTTGTCTATTTTCCTATTTCTTACATATATTTGTTTACACACAAGTATAAGTATTGATTTGAAAATCACATCGTTGGAAGGACGCATGCAGCTGCACTGATGATGTTTAACAATACAAACACATAAAAAACGATAAACAAAAAGAAAAATGAAAAAAGAACATAAAAATGAAAAAAACAATGAAATAAAATTATTCGTGTTGCTAGAAGGACGTAGGATCCAATTCCCAATAACAAGAGAGATAAAGGTGGAAGGAAGATGATAAATAAAAAATAAAAACCAAAAAAGAAGAGGGATGAAACAGATAAGAGAAATGAAGATGCTAAATTAATCTATATTAAAGCAGATACAAATTGAAAGAAATTGAAATTAAAGAGAATGAAAAACAAAAGAAAAAAAGGTGCCGTGTGACAAATGGTAATCACCGGTGGATACTTTTTTAATTAAAAAGGCTTAGGCAGGGGCAGAACGTAGTAGAGACCCAGGGGGCTAACGCCCCTCCAACAATTTTTTTTTAGTGTATATATATACGAAAAATAATTTTTGATATTTCAAAAAGTATTTTGACCCGCCCCCCCAAAAAAAATATTTTCGCCCCCCCAAATGACTTTCCTGAGTCCGCCCCTGGGCTTAGGTGATGTTTCCGCATTAGTAAACCAACTTATTTGACCTTTTCTCTAATATTTATAAAAAGTTTATGCATGTAAGAGATATGTATAGAAAATACGCCTATTTATCTATTTATTTTTTATTTTGTTAGTTTTGATATTTTTTTTGCTCAATTGCTCACTTCGATCCAGGTTTCTCTGTGAACAGCTCAATTAAATGGTCTTCAATTATAAATGAAGTTATTGCACTTTCATTCTCATCTCTTAAACATTATATTTCATCTTCACCATTATATATCTATGAATGACTCAACTAAAATCAGATTTGCCTATTTAGCTCTTTATATTCAACACTTAACTATTTACTATTTTCTCCTATTTAGATGACTCTAGTGCATAAGGCATTTGTAAGAATAGGAATCTTAAATATATGATAACATGAATCCAGCAATCACATGTTAATGAATATGTATTTTGGTAGAATCAATAAACCTGCTACAATAAGCACTACTTAACAGCCATTTCTTTAAGTGGATGACAAATACTATAATTTGTTAGATGCTTGGAGCAGATTTTCATAATGTTGGATAAGGAATTTCATTGGAACAACCACCAGAGCTTGATTTTTCCTTGTACAGTGGACCATTATACAGAGTAATATTTGAAGAATGTAACATGCCCTGTCAATTAAATACCTTCTATGTAATATATTTTGATAAAAGTACCTTCATCGCTAACTTTTGTTGAATTAAGTTTATTAGTTTAATAAAAGTAAATACTATTTAATTCAAGCCCAGGACTGGGCGGGCTTCGGGACTAAGGAATTCAGGACCGTACCGGCCCAGATATGCTTCAGGACCAGGCCTGGCCCATACAATACCAGGCCGTGCCGGGCCCGGGTCGATACCACCCATTTAATTTTTTTTTTTAAATAATGCATTGGGCCCAGGCCGGGCCCAAAAAATCGAGCACAAAGCCCACTTCTTATAACTACCGGGCTGGGCCTAAACAGCAATGGGCCAGGGCCAGGTCAGCCCATCCCAGACTCCCAGTCCATCCCTAGTTTGATCTAGTCATCATAAAAGAATTCTTTTGATGACTAGCTAAATTTCATTTTCTTTGTCTATTGTTGTTCCAATGTATTCATATAATCATATTCACAGGTTAGTTTAATAAAGCGTAGTTAAATGTAGAGTAATGTAATAAAAAAGAAAAAGGGAAAAAAAGACTGTAGGTGGTAAGATCTAACAAAATTTAATTAAATGGATAAGTGATGTTAATTTTACAGTAAATTACATTTAATTACATTGCACTATGTTACGATTTATCGTTTATCAAATATGTTACATTGCACCAGACCCATTGTGATTTATAGATTATTATGTGTGTGGAACACAATACCTTTGGTGCAATTATTTTGCACTCTTGAAGTATTCAGTTCCCTTTGTTTATTCTACGTTTTGATACTCTTCCAGCTCCTACTCTTCTCTAGTAAGGTATGCTCTATCTTGCATCTGTTTTTTTCCTTTTAATAAAAACTGAGCAATCTTTAGTTAAGTCTATTTGGTGATATGGATGAGATTTGTTGCAATAATCATTTTCAGGCAATGCTGTAAACGCCAAGCTTGCTTTCTTCGAAAAATGCTTTTGTGTAGTTCTAGTTGTAATGAAAATAAAAACAAGCAAACACTGGACGAAGTGTCTAAAGGTCATAAAACTAACAAGCTATATTGCTATAAGATCTTATTAGTAGCAAAATGTATAAAAACCCAAGTGATTTTGGCTCATATTTGGATGATAGGGTAAGTAAGATATGTACATCACATGTATTGGTATAATAACTTACCATATTATTATCTGATTTATCTCAGTGACTTACAAGGGGCTGTAATTGGACGTCATGCACCGTGACAAGGCTATGAGGGCATTGCTGAGATTAATACATACCCCGTTCGGAGATGCCCATTTGGTCATATATTCACAAGGAAACAAAAACAACTTGCTTTGCTACTTATTGACACACTGTTTCAAGGTGAAACTTAATCTGAAGGCACAAGTTACAAGATCTAACCAATATCCCCTCCAGAAAGTCTTGGAAACAGCAAATTACCTCCTCATGCAGCAGCTTCTTGTGCCCGTTAAAAGAACAATTCAGTACTGTAACTGAGTTTCCAACTAACACCAATATACATTTCTAAACCAACAGGTTGTCTGGTTGGAAGGATGGAAAGCATGTGACAGATTTAAAATTGATGGGAAGGAATTTAAAAGGGTTGTGAAATCGATTGATATGTTGGTAGAATAGAATTACTAGTGTATTCTAGTGCTCGGTTGAAGGGATCTTGTTGTATTAATAAGAAAAAAAGTGGGTCAGTCTTTACTTGCATGTGTAGGACCTGTTGGTTCAATACTAGAGTAGGGGATATGAATTGCAAAGATCCAGGGAAGGGATCAGGTAGGGAAGGGATTGGAATTCCTCCCACAGGCCAAACAAGCCTTAGACAATTTCTGAATTGATTTAATCAGAAATGTGCACAGAAATTTAGCATTCTAAAAGTTGTACCACAGATTGATCCCAGAGATTCACAAATGTGTACAAGACGCTATAGAATCTCAGCAATATCTGCTCTTCACAGAAAAACACATTTCTCCCCTCAATATCTGGATAGCCTGCAAAGTGACTAACTAAATTCAATTTCGCAGGAAAAAAACTTTAGAGCATCATGTCAGTATGTTCAGACCATAGTTATACACACAACTAATTCAGAGAATAAATATAAGTTCAAAGTACAAGTCCTTCAAGGTTTTGTTTTTGGCTAGCGAAGGTATACTTCAACATACAACTGCTTAATGGCTCAAACCAACAAAGCAATGAAGCAATAAGCACAACTTTTTTATCAAGAAAATGGTTCAAATACAAATGCAACTTCAGTCTTAGACAGATGCAACAGAACTGTCAATATTGACATCTTCTTCACCATTCATTATTTTTGGCATTCACTATTACCTATTAAGTGTTAATAATTTTATTATTATTAATTTGGCAAATTGGGACCCAAAGTTAATGACCTGGTAAACCTACACTGGCCCTTCGGGCAGTCTAGCTAGCAACCACAGAGATTTTTTTAGTTCCGAGTTCAAACCAGTCGAGTCAACCACCCCGGTTTACCTGTTAGCTTTTTTGTTTTACTTTTTAGGCCAATGACAAGTGAACTGAGTGTATTTTTTTTATACCATGATGCATTTCCTATCTGATTTTGAAGAAGCTAATAGCTCTAATAGGCAACAAGGACTTCAGATGCAAAATTAAAAGTACAACATGTGATGCTAATACTATGACTCCAAGAATACAACATGAAGTTCAACCACAGACATCTATACAACTGTAGGGCGGGTGAAACCAATTAAGTAAAGGATTCCTTCGTGTACATATCTGAATAAATACACACGGTCCATCAGATCACCTTGTTATCTTTTTCTTGAATGACTTCATGTCTAGTCATTTGCAGCCTGCATAAGTGTTATATTAGTCTGTTCGTGGCCATCAGCCTGAAAATGAACAAAAAGACAAATTCAACCAAAAGTTTCCAATGCAAACTAAGAGAGATCTGGGGATGACTTGTTTTCAAGAATCAAGTGCTTTTTACATGAAGAAAACACTTTTAATGTGCATTTAAGAAAGTAGCAGATTGGGTAGCAGAATTGGGATGCTTGAAAAAAAACAGCTCAAGTGCTTAAACGAGAAATCAAATATATAGCATAAATAATTTTTCTGCATGTCTTGCTTTCAAATAATAAATGGTCTTTTAATGAAGAAAAGTACTTGTAGTACAAAAAATATATATTTGACAAGAAAATGGAAAAAGTAGCACTTTTAAAAAAATTGAAACAATGCTTATTTAAGAAAAAAGCAGATTGGAAGGCCTTTCCATAAAAGCACTTTAATTGCTTAAATTAGAAAGCACTTATGAGAAAACCACTCATACCATAAGTTGTTATCCAGTTATCCCAAACAATCTCTAAAACCCAACACAATATAATTCAACAAGTGAGAGAAGAAGCTGATGTGTAAAGGTTCAACTCGCCTATCTTTATACATTCAGTGATGCCGAGGGTAACTCAGGAACTGAAAAGAGCAAACACCTGTCATCCCAACGTAGTCTTATCTCCATCCCAATCTGGAGTCCCTTTCCTCTAATGATTTTCCCCCACTTACCAATTAGGTTATAGTAACTCCCACGCCATCGCAACTTCATTAAGTAGAGATCACCTGTGTCATTATCTTTACCATTAACATCTATCTGACGTTCACTCCTCAGTTTCTCCCTGTCTTGTGGGGTCCAGTAAAACAGAACATAATCTTCAACTGCTTTGCCGGGTAGAGTAAGAAATGGATGGGTAGTGTCCACATCAGACAAGGTCAGAGCCTTCTTAATGGGCCAATTATCTACCACTGAACTTGGGGTTGTGTTATAATGTTCCTGTGGTACTGAGAAGTATAAGCATTCATTTTCCCAACGTATTCTAATCTCTTCTCCTACCCCAAGCCCTTTCTGTCTAATTATCACCCCCCATTTCCCGATTAGGTTATAGAAGTTCCCCTTTGGTTTGATTTTCATTTGATAACCTTCTCCCGTGTCATAATCCTGTGTGTTCACGACTACGTGGTCTTCCTTTCTTAACCGCTCTTGCTGCTGAGGTGTCCAATGCACGAGAATATGATCCTCAACCTGCTGATGTGGCAACGGAAGAAAAGGATGGTTGATGTCAACATCAGACAGAGTCAACACCTTCTTGATGGGCCAGAAGTTGTCCACCGCCGATGGCCCCACAACCATCCGTACAGGCATAACCACTGTAGCAACCTGCTCACGTGGCACAGAGAAGTGCAAGATCCCATTGTCCCACCGGATTTTGATCTCGTGGCCTGCATCCAGTCCTTTGGTTCTGACAACTTTGCCCCATTTACCAATAAGATTGTAATAACTCCCTCTCCACTTCAGCTTCATGCTGTACACCTCACTGGTGTCATCGTCTTGAGCGTTGAAATCCACATGACCTTGGGATCTCAAAACTTCCTGATGTTTCGGGGCCATATGCACGATAATGTGGTTTTCAACTTGTTGACGTGATAATGTGAGGAACGGATGTGTTATGTCCACATCAGACAATGTCAGTGACTTCTTGATAGGCCATGGTTCCCCAACAGCTTCAGGCATATCATTGTAACATATGGCTCTCCTCATTCCTTTACTAGTAATGAAATATGTGAATAAATCATCAAATGCTTATTGAGTCAATCAAAGGCCAGTACAACAAATTGTTAAATTTTGCGGGTTTGTCAGAATGCAAGTGCAGTAAACAGGCTTAACCATCCAGCAAAAACAGGAATCAAGAAAACTTATTTGATACTACATATGCTCGAAAAAAAGAGTCTTGTTTCATCAAGTTACAACTTTTAAGTTTTGGTATAATGGTAAGGTACAACTCTCGTAAGCTATCAATCCTTAACTTGTTCATCACACATTTTTTTGGGAGAATTACATTAAACCCAATGATAACTTCTCATGATGATATAAGATGCTTTTTTGGGACAAAAATGTGTTTTTATACATTACTCTTTTAGGGACAGATGGGGTACTATACAAGTATACATCACGCCCTGCTAAAGAAATTCTAGCTTTATAGAATTTATGATGCTTATAGTCCAGGTGTACAAATCTGATGTAACCGAACTCTATTTTTTTGCTTTTATTGTAGCGGGATGGGACATTGGGAGTTAAAGTCCCCAATGCAGATTAAAAAAGGGTCACCTTGAGTCACTTAGAGCATCCACAATGCATGTTAGTCTAGTCCAAATAAAATGTGACAAATTTCAAATAAATGTGAGGCTTTCTAATACACATAATACAAAGTGAAGTGAGTCAAGTGACTAGACATTGAACTATGAAAGAAGGCTCTGATGCTTAAAGTCTTGGGGCGGAAGTTAGATACCCATTTGAGATTAAATTAAGAGTAAATTATACAAATCATTACTTCTTATTTGAAATAGCAGCTCCCCTACAAAGTAAAATCGGCCAACACCATATTATTGCTCTCGTGAAAAAAATTCTGACTCACATCCATAAAAGGTTTGAAGCAGCAAAGGCCCAAGGGATAAACGTGCACTTCACATTGCAGTTGTTACCGGCGGTTACGAGAAGAAAATCAAATGTTTATTCAACAATAATATATATATATATATAGTTGGGATGTGTGAAGGTAGTTTCTCAGGCCTCGATCCACCCTAAACCACCGTCGGGGTGTTTGTTTAGTTGGGAAGACTGCTTGAGTTACCACCAGAGTAATTAATCATCTGTGGAAGGATTGAAGGCGGAGAAAAAAGTATAATACCCTTGTTGTCCATAGAGCTCACCATGTCATGCTTTAATTTGGAGAAAGAAACTGTGATGAAGAAGAACGAATGCTCTTACTAGACTCACAGTTTTTCGTAAAACAACCATGTTTTAAATGAGTTTGTCCACTCAACAAGTCTACCATAATGTCTACACTCAGAAATTTTCCTTCACATTGTCTAATCGTTTTTTTTTTTCAAATCAGCAAAAGCAAATGAAGACTACCCGGTTTGGAGGGGCTAATAGTCTAATGTATTGAGGTGGCCTATTTTTTCTTAGACTAAACACTGAAACAGTCTGCATTGCAGATTGTTAGGAGTTGGGGTAAGGTCATTGGAGTGTTATGTTTTCATACCATGACTAGCAAGTGGCAACACCAATTTCACACTAACATAAAAATCCTGTCAGTCCAGGGGTGGAGACAGGGAGGGGCTGGAGGGGGCCTTGGCCCCCGCAAGATTTTTTTTTAAGTATATATTATGTATAAATACTTTTAATCTATAGAAAGTATGTTGATATTTTAAACTTTGGTCCCTGCAATGTAAAATTTTTAAGGATCGACCCCTTTAATAATAGATTTCTAGCTCCGACACAGGCTGTCACCCTTAGGGTTTGTTTGCAAACGCTTAAAAAAGCGCTTCTCGGCTTTTGTCTTAAAAAACCTAAAATTGTATTTTCAAGTGACAACTTCTACTTTTGGCTGAAAACTATTTTTTACTTTTTCTATTACACAAAATGCACATATTTTAACAAACACTACCAAGTTTTACTTTTCAAAATCACTTTTTTCTCAAACACCATCAACTTTTAATACTGATCACTTTTCCCAAAATCACTTTAAAAAGTGCCTTTTTTAAAGCAAAAGCATTTGCAAACACTCCCTTAAGTACTTTGGTCTTTGGGATCTTATAAAAGAACACATTTACATTTGCGTGTGAGTGTCAGGTAAGTGAAAATGCAGAACTCTACTACTCTTAAAGCTTCAAGTCCAAACCCCAAGCACCAAATAACTTATGCAAATCTTGAAAACTTAACAATTAGGGGTTATTTGGAACTGATTCTGCTTCTACTTCTTTTTTAAAGCAGAAGCAGAATCAGAATCAGTTTTCAGAAGTTGGTCACCCCGGCTTCTAAAAAAACTGATTCCAGAAGTAAATTAAAGCACCAGAATCACTTCTTCACTTTCATCCAAACACTCCAACTTCTGCTCTCTGAAGAAGGAGAAGCAGTTTTAAAAATCAGACCAAAACACCCCTTAGAGGAATTAAAGAGTATTAACACAAAAACAACACATGAGTTTCTCAATTATCTTCGAATTTATTCATCAGATAATACAAACATCACATCACTTTCTAGCAACTGCTTTTGGAATAAAAAAATTAAAGAACAAAATCTCAATGGAGCGGATAAAACACTTTTTGAAAAAGAAAGGAGGAGAAGAAGAAGTTTGCCTTTAATTAGTACGGAAAGTTCACCAACAGGATGAAGCTTCGATCTCGGGAAACCTCTGGGAGGTGGGGATGTGAAATGTTAAGGTGAAGAATTGCGTTTTATAGCTCACCCTGGAAAAAAGAAGTTAAAGAAAGTGAAATTGAACAGATTGGAAAAGAAGATCACAAGAGTTTGAAGGGCCAACGAGAAGAGAAAGGAGAACGATGAAGATCACATTTTGAGAGAAGGAGAAGAACGTGAAGAGAGGTGGCTACAGGATACGGTGGTGCTATGCAGCGGCAGATTTCACTTTCCTTTATCATTTTTTTGAAAGAGGTATTCCTTTTGTCCCTAATAACTTTGACAAGTTTGACCGACATGTAGATTAATAAAGTAAAAATTGTGTGATTGAAGTTTGTGGAGAGGATAGAGAATTATTTAGAATCACAAATTCTTTACTTAAAAGGGAAAGTGATAAAGTTAGTGGGACATCCATAAAAGGAAAGTTGACAAAATTATAAGGGACGAATGAAGTATTAAACAAAAGAAAAAATCTAAAGCTACACACTTTTTGTACGCATTCTTGCACACTCGTGTTTTTTTGTCTGTCCCGGACAAAACGTATTTTACGTTTTGTCCGGCACAGAAAAAAAACGCCTACACAGACATGAGTGTGTAAGAATGCGTACAAAAAGTGTATACCCAAAGTTGGACTCTAAACAAAAATAAGAAAGACACTTTTCCTATTCTAGTGTCAATTTTCCAATTTTGATCCTCCAACTACTATAATAGCGAAGTTTTGGTCATTTATTAATTGTGTCAAAATTATGGCAAAAAGATTAAATCTATCAATTTGATAATACTCATGGAGTAGTTGAGCGGAACTTTGAAGGTGATGGTTAAAAGTTTGTTTCACGCAATAGTTGAATGAATAAAAATCAAGTACTAAAAGTGTCGCTAACACAATAATCAAGGATTGAAAGTAGCAAAAACTCCATTCTCTCCCGCTTTAATCATCTCATTTTGAAAAATGACAATTAAATAGAGTAACTCAAGTATATTATCCAAAAAATAGAAGATGGATTTATCAACTCAAACCACCCAAACTACTGTCCGAACAATTTTGGGGACAACGACAGAGGGACTCGAGAGGCAATGGAATTGAATATGGGAGAATCAAATATATCAAAAGAAGCAAAAAAAATGCATGCCTAGGAAACTGATTATAACAATGTTGAGGAGAGTAATACTAAAGTAAGGCTACCTGCAATGCAAGAGATGAAAATCCCATATTTGAAGTTTTCACTCCAAGAATGGTGCAACCCAAACAAAAAAAAGTAGAGGAAGGAGCTATAGTGGATTGGGAGAACCTTGGGGGGATTCCGACGCTCATTTAGGGTTGGATTCGGTTCGGGCCACCCGGCCCGTGACCCGGCCCGGCCCGGTACTGTGCGGGCCCGGGACCGGCCCAGTCGGGCGGTCCGGGACCGGGTGTGGACCTGAACCGGTGGGAATGGGCGGGGCGGGCACGGTTCCGGATAAATGTGACCCGGACCGGCCGGGTCGGGCCCGGGTCCGGGTCCGGGTCCGGGCCAACGGTCTGATTTTTTTTTTTAAATTGGTACTAGGCTACTAGTCATTGGGGGTGGGCTGGGGACAACCCAAACGGCTATATAGCCGTTGGGTGGGGTGCAAGGGGGGTCCGGGGGGTTGGGTGGGGGGGGGGGGGGGTAAAAAAACCTATAAATACTCCTAATCTTAAACATTTTTTCATATCTCTTCTCCAATTTTTCCTAAATCCTATTCTTAACTCTCTACTCTCTAATTCTCTTATTCTCCAATATATTATATTTATTATTTATATATCTACTTTATAGTTTATACTTAAGAAGTTAAGATGGAAAATCAAGATGCCATTATACGGTATAATTTTGATAAGCAGAAGGACCCGAAGACCGGGATGTGGTACGCAATTTGCAAATGGTGCGAGAAAAAATGTAGCATGGGGGTTTCAGGCGGATACGGGATGACAATCAAGCATATGAAGTCATGTGACAAAGCCAAAGGATCGGGAGGTGCGGGAAGTTCCGATTGATTACAATTTTCAAAATGTTTGTCTCTTAAAGTTTGTTTTAATTTTCAAATGTAGTTCCTATTTTCAAATGTAGTTCCTATTTCACTTCAAATAAATGCCCGCCCGGGTCTCGTATAAAACTATAAACTATAAAATATAAATTATAAAAAAAAAAACTTTAACCGGCCCGGCCTGAACCGGACCCGACTCGTGACCCGGGCGGGTGGCCCGGCCCGAACCGGACCCGTCCAACCCTCGGGCCGGTCCCGGGCCCATGTGATACGAACCGGCGGCCCGACCGGGCCTAGGCCCGGCCCGAGCCCGACCCGGCCCGAATCCATCCCTACGCTCATTGCCCCAAGAGAGAGAGAGAGGTGATAGCTGAAGGTTAGGAAAATGTGAGGGGTCCACATTAAATTAAAATCCCAATTTTGTTAAAAATGGTGTATCTTTTTTATTTAAAATCCACTTTTTTAGATAATATATCAAAATTCATATTTTTTTACGACCTTTCATATGACATCAAGATGTCATATATAAAGTTTCTTAAAAATTATGAAGTTTTATCTGATGGAGAGATTTTCAGACCTAAATTGTTTTAAGATTTCATTGTTTTTTTTATCATTTTAAGATTTCATTGTTAAACTATTTTTTTACATCTCTCAATTATTATTTTTCAAAAATAGATCTCATGGTTATAAAATTTACTCCAAATTTATTTATTTTTACATCGGAATGTTTGATATTTTAAATCATAATTATTTGCAAAAATAGAATTTGAGAAAAAAATATGTGTAATAATAAAACTAAGGATTTAATTAAAAAAGAATGTGTTGAGTGAATATATTGACGGTGTTGGGTTGCCCGAAAAAACTGAATTGATTGAGTGAATACATATAAACTGATGTTAGATTAAAAAGTGATTAATTAGTGACTAATTTTCACATAATCAATTCTTTGCCTAAAAATTTAGTTAAAAAGTTTAGTTAAAAAGTTTAGTTAAAAAGTTAAAAATGTTTAGCTAAAAATTTAGTTAAAAAATTTAGTTAATTCGTGATTATTTAGTGTAGAGTATTTTAGTTAAAAAGTTTTAGAGTAATTTACTTAATACGTGTTGTCTAAAATTTTAGTTTAGAGTAATGTTGATAGTTTAGAATAATGTTGATAGTTTATATATTTTCCACTTAATGTGTACCTACTATATTGTACAAAATTGTAGATTTAAAATGGCCGACCGCACTCCACGCCCTGGCCCCGTGGATCATTCAATACTAACCTTACCTCCGTATACGCATCGTGCCGAACGTGTGTGGCATGACCCGTCGTTTAACGACAGATTGAAGTGCATCAATTGCCCCCGTGATGCATACGATGCGGGTGGGCAGTGAAATCCGAGAGTGTTGGCGCTGATACGCGATGCAGGTTTTCTGGGCGTAGAGCGGATTGGCAACATGAGGTTGGACCACTTCTTAATAACATCTCTAGTGGAGAGATGGAGACCGGAAACACATACTTTTCATCTTCCCTTTGGTGAGGTTGGGATCAGTTTACAAGATGTAGCGATCCTATTGGGTTTGCCCATCGATGGTATGCCCCTGAGTGGTCCAACCGCAAACACAAATGTTGCTTGGATACATATGTGCACAGAGTTGGCAGGTTTCACTCCTCATGAGAGTGATTTGGAGCGCGGTGTCGAAATTAAGTGTCGTGCTATTACGCGTACCCCGATCCGCCCCGACAGGACCGATGAAGAGGTCACCCAACACGCTAGAGTCGTGGTGTGGTAGTTGCTTGGCGGTCTTTTGTTTCCTAACACAAGTGGGGATAAAATACGACTGTATTTTTTAGAGCTTTTGAATGGGGACTTAGCGGATGCCCGTCGATGGAGTTGGGGATCGGCGGTGCTCAGGTTCCTCTATCATAACTTGTGTAAGGGCAACAAGTGGAATGCGAGGCAAATTGGTGGTTGTCTACACTTGCTACAGCTTTGGGCTTGGGAGAGGCTTCCTATGTTGCGTCCCCAACTTCTTCGGCCCATCAACATTGGAGATCTTCCGTATGGGTGTAGGTATGATTCCAATTAAATCTTAGTAATTAAAATGTTGTATGTTTTTCTAAAATTTTTGACATGATGTTTGTCAACAATAAATGTAGATGGATCGGACCCCATTCATTTTCGGAAGGGGGAAGACATGCGTTGCCCGTTTTACGAGACCTCTTAGACCGCATGAGGGAGAGTCAAGTAGTGATTTGAATTCTACTTTGAATACAATTGTCTTTTAGTACAAACTATCTCATTATTGTTAAATTAACATTATACTTTTACAGTTTGTATGGACCCCCTATCCATTGGGTAATCTCCCTGAAGACATCAGAAATCAATCCAGGATTTGGTTTGCCGAGGTTATGCTCATTTTTGCGATTATGCGGAGAGGCATTACCCTGATCGGTTTTGTCGACAGTTCTTTGCCTTTCAGAGAGAGCCGAAACTCACTCTCCAAGGTACAGGCCATCACACTATTAGCTCCCGCGCTAGTGCAGCTTCCTTAGCATTGTGGGCGGAACGAGATATGCATTTATACGAACCTACATGGCCCCCTCTTGACGGGCAGAATGTGGCTGATGGGTACCGTACGTGGTACGCGTGGACTGGTTGGAAGCGTGTCATGAATCCTTCGCACGCTACACCTAGGACAAGCTACACCCCTGCGATACGTGAGTTGGGTGTTACAGTAAGTTTCTAATTACATACGATATTCATTAACAAATTTTCCTTTATAATATTTACACTAATTAATTTTGATTGCAGTTGCAATGCATTCATGATAGCTATCAGCTCGCTGATAATTTGGCCGATCATGAGGATATTAAAGATCGGCTAGCACAATGTGTTAAAGCATTAGATGTAAAAGAGGTGCTCCACCAAGGCATCTTCCATTACCCAGATGCTGACTATGAGCCCGATTCCATGCCTCCTCCAAGGCAAGATCGTCGCGGTTACGTTGCGCCGCATATAGAGACAGCTGCTGCGGGAGATGAAGATGAATATGAAGAATATGAAGAAGCTGTTGCGGTTACGTTGCGCCGCATATATGAATTTTACATTATAAAACTAGACATGGACAATGAGAAATGACAACTAGCATTGAAAATTACAAACTGAATTTTACATTTTAATTATATACTCCGTATTTTACCAAAAAACAGTTTTATAAAAAAAGCTACATAATAGTTTTAATATTTACATTTTTGAAGTATTATTATTATAACGCATATGTAACTAATGTACATTCCCATTAATTTCTTTTCTTTTATGATATTATTAGTATCGTTACTAGTTACTGCTCAAGGCATGTTTTGGCAGTGTTAAGTTGATAAGGATTAACAAATATAATTTTGAGTAAAGAGTATATTTGTTAATCCTCTTTGGTGAGGACTATTCTAACCGAAAAGGCGGTCAAATTTTTGCTGTTTAGGGACATAGTAGCTTCTATATTGGAGATCAAGTAGTGGTGTTTCGATTAAGAATATTGGTGATGACTGATGAGAGATATCTATTTTCCTTTTCTCATGAGATTGATATGAGACGTATTCCAGAATATGACACATGATTTTATGATCAAAGTCTTGTTGTGTTGCATGAATTAAAGCCTCATGATCTACATTTGCATGTTCTTTATATTTTTCTGAGTTTTGGATTCAACACATATTTATTATATAATTTTGGGCATCGATTCATAATAATCATTTTAAGATTTAATGTTTGTGATTCAATAGAAAATTTAGTCTAGTATCTACGTATACAAATTTTTATACATTACTAACTTGAAATTTGTCAATCTCGTAAATCATTTTTGCAAAACCTTTTGAGAGGGAAGAAGTATATTAGTGTTATTTCTTAAAGTTGTGTATATAACTAAATAATAAAAGGATTATAGAAATTGCTCTAAATATGAGCAAAAACGTTTTGAAATTCATGAATAGGAGTAATCTGTAAAATTTAGAAAAAATGCAATGTTTAAAAGCCCAGTAATGCCAAACTTGGCAGAAATTTACTCTTATTCAAGGAAAAAAAATATGTTACTCCTATTTTGGAATTTTAAAACTTTTTTACTCCTGAACTTTTTAGTGTGGATATTTTGAGGGGTGTTTCTATGTGCATATATGAAAATTTTAATCGTAAAAACTTTGTAAAATAGTACGGAGTAAAAGAGTTAGGAAGCAAAAAAAAATTTTGTTAGGGACGACAAGGCATGCATCGTTAAAAAAGACGACCACAGTGGGAGTCGAACCCACGACCTTCTGATCCGAAGTCAGACGCGCTAATCCACTGCGCTATGCGGTCTTTTTGATAAGTTATTGATAGTTTTGTAATATGTAACTAAATACGTACAAGTACTATCAACGGTTCGCCTAGTGCGAGCATTACCAATTTCCTTCTGATCGGAAACCACCACACGGAGTATGAAGTATACGTAGTACGGAGTATATCTTTTCATTTTGGACTTTGGAGTGATATTATTTTTCTTATTTCTATTTTAAGATATTTTTATTGCTTTATTCTTTTAACAAAACTAAATAAATTTGTCGTTTTGATAATAAACCAAACTATATTTAGTCATAGTTTCGAACTTTATTTTATGTTTTATACTTTTATATACTCCTATTATTTGCACAATTTCTCTAAATCATATATTTTTCTAGCTTGCCATCTATTTATGAAATAGCTTATCACCCTCATTAATTAGCTAATTGCTTTTAGAGATACTATTTTTTTGTGATAATTTTATTTGTAAGCAGAAACTGGAGTTTGGCTCATCATCGATCACATTGTTGAAATGTTTTTTTTTTATAAATATCATTCTTTAATTGGTAAGTGATATATCCTTCTGTCCTACGAAATTAAACTTACATTATTGGGAGTATATGTAAGTTTAGTCACTATCGAATATCGGTAGCGTCAATTATAGTGTAGCAAATTAAACTTAGTTTTTGGTTAACTGTCCTCATTTAAAAATTGTTTCAAATATCACCCCTCGCTGAAGAATATTATTTATGTGGTATGAAGAATGATTGATTACTATAAATCTAATTGCAATCACAAAATAGCAGCAACCATTAAGAATACAAAAATTTGTACATGTGCGAATTCGATTTGAGCATTCATCTATAGGTTGATAAAGAGAAAATTTTGACATACTTGATAACCAATCAACGAATAGAATTCGCTAATTCGCAGGTACCTTGGTCCAGGAGCAGCACGAGACGCTCGTCTGCAGGACTTCGGATCCAGCAGAAAGCAGGAAGCAAGTTCATGGGGACGAACGTCCCCACCCCTTGACGGGAAGCCAGGATCCAACAGGAAACATGAGCCAGCTCGAGGGACGAATGTCCCCACCCTTGGCGGGAAGCTAAGATCCCAGCAGAGAATGAGAGGCAAGCTCAAGGGGACGAACATCTCCACCCCTTGGCGGGAAGCCAAAATCCTGGCGGGAAGCGCATTTAATGCAGAAGATTTGGTGGTTGGGGTCCAGCCATCCACAACCCGTCATGTCAATGCATCCAACTACTTATTGACAGTATATATAGAAGCATTTATTTCATTGTAAAGGGTGGACAACTAAGCACTCTAATAGTATAGCATTGTAGCAGCTCGTAGCATAGGCAAGGGACGAACGACCTCACGCCTTTGTATCGAGATTATTGTATTAAGATTTCTTACTGGGCTTTTCTTGCTTGTTTCTATATCTACTTCTTTATTTCTTCTATTCGAAACCCTTGGGTCATGTGTTGGACCTACGGGTTGACGGAATAAACCTCAACACATAGTTTTAAAATATGTATTAAATACCTTCTAAAAAATAAAATTAAATACTTCTGAATAAAGTGACAAAAATTAGAGGAAACATATTAGTCGGGGTTTTTCGTTGTCAAATGGAGGTTGTTATAACCGGGAATGACCTAAAAACAAATATAACAATCTTAAATTTCATGGATGAAAAACAAAAAATTATTTAGGGACGATATACACTACAAAAAAATTACACGATTATTGACATGAATTTGACACAGGCTGATCAGTGATTTCATGCTAAATAGCTCGTGTCAAAAAGTTTTTGGCACGAATTTAATATTTTTATCCACCACATTTTAAAGAGTAATATTAATGGATTTTTTTAGTGTTTTTTTATTGATAAAACAAAATTTACAATATTTTCAAGGATTATAAACATATTTATATAACGTGTTCCTACATTATATTTATGGAAAATTTATGTAATAATTTATTGAAATAATGAAATTGTGAGAGAGACGAATCAAACAAATGATATTTTTACTTGGACTTATTTCAGTCCCAGACAAGATTAGATCAAACCAGATCAGACCACACCAATTCAGACCACAAATCAAATCAAACGAGAGCAAATCAGACTTCATTCGACAATTATAAATAAATTACATAAAGAACATTCATTATCAGATCGGATAAGACTAATTCAGACCAAATCAGACCAGATCACATCAGACTAGACCCATTTCTATCGAAATAAAAACATCTAAAATGTAACACCTCAATTGAGAGGAGCTATGATGCGGCAAGTCGGCAATTGCTATACTTTGAGATGGAACATTGGAAGGGTGTGTGAAATGAGAGGTAGAAAAAGAGATAAGATGTGCTTGTATAGTTGTATATATATGGTCAGCTCAACTGATCATGAAAGTAAATTTTTGCTACAAGCTAAGTAAATGAATAAGATTATTTTTTATAAAAAAATAAAATAGCCGTCTTGGACAATTTAGCGAGAAAAGTAAATGTTTGAATGGACCAATTAAATCAAACAATTCATTCAAAAAAGTAATATAAGTGGTAACCTTATTGATTATTATCAAATTCAACTTGTAAAATCAAAGTTTGTGTTTATTATCATCAAATTTAGTACACATGCTTATCTCCTTAATAATTAATTTATGAGAAGCATGACGTACTTGGATCACTATATATGTCTACTTGAATTGAGAATTGAAATGGAGCCCATTATTAAGGATGACACCTCATCCCTGAGGCCCCCAATCCCGACCGGACAGTACGTTGGGAGGATGTAAGTTGGACTATAATCCCAATCTGACAGATAGAGAGTGTGACCATGTCCCCGATACTTGCATAGGCCTTATGCTTTTTTAGCATAGTAACCTCTCATCGCAGTTGTCGGGATTCGAACCCAGGACCTAACCCTTGTGGCACTTCCTTCCTACCAGTTGAGCTACGCCCAATAAATGGAGCCCATTATTATTTTGTTGAGGGGAGGAACATATATGGATGCATGCACGTGGCTGGCCAAAGGTGTCTTGGATGGGAAGCCCATGCCCATGCACAAATACAGCCAAAATCACAATGCACAACACGTGCAAGAACTGAAGTTGGGGAGCCGGTGGGTATCAATTTTAAATCATGTAGCACTTAATCTAGAAACTTTTTCATTTTTTCACTTAGATATTATAGAGATAATTGATAATATGTTTAAAAGATAGGCTAAGGTGATAAATGAGCAAAGTGGTGATTCGACACTTGAATTTATCTTCTGTAGAGTAAATCTTACATGAATTTGATTCAGAGCACATAAAACACTTCAACTACTCTCGGGTGGAATAAAGAATACACGTTATAAAGTAGCTAGCTTGTAAGTTGTAACAGAACTATGAAAGTACTTGAACTTATTTTCACAATTAAATTAGGATAGATTCGTCAAATATAGATGAACAACTTAACAAAAATGATTTAATGATTTGTTAACTTTTGATTTAAAGTAGTTAAAGATTGAAAACTTTAAAAATATGCAATGATTTATAAAATTAACATTTGTAGTACGTAGTTCAAGTGAGCAATTGTTAATAAAATACTGTACCATTAATAATCACGAAACATTTGATAAAATTAATAATCTTTTCGTTCCTGAAAATTATTCCCACTTACCTTTCTAGAGTACTTAAATATGCAAATGAGTTTTAAGTATGTTTTTATTTAAACCATTTCTGGTTCCAAACTATATTAGATCGTTCATTAGACTAGACCGGATCATAAAACCGGATTTTGTGAGTTACTTCCTCCGTCTTTTTTTAGTTGCAACAGTCAACATTTCACGTTTGCCAACACACTACTTTGACCGTCATTATATTTAATTCTGTATTAGTAAAAATAAAATAAAAATCAGATTATAAAACTTAGTAATGAGACGAATTTAACAATATTTTTCAAAAAAATAATTCACATAGATTAATAAATAAAATGTAGTCAAAGTAAAATACATGAATAGTGTATATATTCCAATGTTGTAATTAATGTGATACGGAGGATAATATATAAATAATAAAAGCCGACTACTACACGCTGGATCGGTCCACGTACATTTCTCAGATCTTCAATCATTTTCCCCCTCACACAAAAGAAGATCGGAGATTGGCCGGAATTTTTTCATATATCCGGCGTGGGAAAACTGTACTAAGGGAGAATTATTTATTGAAGGTTCAATTCTGAAAGAAAAAAGGAAGAAATATAATGGAAGATGAGACGTTGAGAGTAGGGAGGTCATTGGAGGGAACTCCGACTTGGTCGGTAGCTACCGTCACCACTGTCATGGTTTTCCTTTGCTTCTTTGTAGAACGCTCCATTTTCCGCTTTGGAAGGGTTAGTATATATATATATACTCCCTATAAGTATACATTAAGTGTTAATTAAGGCTTGGTTTTCATCCTTAATAACGCGTGTTACATAATAATCAATCACGATCCGATTTGACTCTCATACCATATTAAGAGTCGGATTCCATTCTAAAATTTAGCTCATCTTGATAGGAGGAGTAACTTCATGGTATTGTATATAATGTTTGATTACTTTTATATCAATCCTGCAAACCAGTAAAAGAGACAAATACTTCAACATTAAGTTTAGTGATTGTTACTTATGATGAGATGAGAATAATAATACTTAAAGTTCAAGGTCAATGGAATTTGTAAATTGTTAGTAGTATACATACACAACTCAATTACAAAATTTGTTAACAATTTTTTCACAAAATTGTAAATTTGTTATATATTTGTAACGGCTATTCTTTACAATTTACAAAGTTATTTTAAATGATTTTAATTTTCTTGGTAGTTAGTCAACGTTCAGTTGACTTTATATGGTTAGTTGTGTTATATATATGCATGCAATGCAGTGGTTGGAGAAGACAAGGAGGAAGGCTCTTTATGCTTCCCTGGAAAAGATAAAGGAAGGTCAGTAATATATATAGTAATAGGCCAAGTTTACTTGATGAGTGAAAAATGTGAAATTATTCCACAACTTTCCCTCTTTTCTAAGGTTTGTGTAGTATATATACTTCTCGTTAAAGAAATTGCCCAGACTTAAACATGCATAGACCAAGTTCACATACATGGTTAAATATGTTAATTGCATAAAATATGTAATATTTAGTCTCTATAATAGAATAAACGCAATTAAAACTTCTCAATTTAATGAAGAGTAAATGCATCATACTCCTGAAAATATGATGATCCTATCTTAAAAAAATGCATGATGTATTGGTTCTATTTGAGAAATATTCACTATTTCTCGAATAGGATTTTATGTACAACAATTTACTTCATTATTTTTGTAAAGAAATATATTTTCCTAAAAAACATGTTCCATGGTGCAGACCAAGTTAATTAGTCTTATGGATCTTTGGAATTGATTCTGCTTTTACTTCGATCTTTTTTAAAGGTAGAAGTAGAATCAAAATCAGAATCTGTTTTTTAGAAACTGGTCTCCCAGAGCTTCTAAAAAACAGCTTTTAGGAGCAATTTGGAGCATTTAAAGTATTTCTGCACTTTCACCTAAACACTTCATCAATATTTGTCTGTGCTCTCTGAAGGAGCAGAAAAGTTTTGAGAAGCATATCCAAACTCCTATTAGAACAAAAAATAACTTTAAATAACCAAGTTGGTTATTAATACTAGCTTTAATACAGTGGCCTTTAAATCTAACCAAAGTAGTTTTATGGGACAGAGCTCATGTTGCTAGGCCTAATTTCTCTGTTGTTGGGGCAATGGGCAAGATGGATTACTCAAATTTGTGTGAGCTCCTCCCTCTACAACAGTAAATTCTACATTTGCTCACAAGAGGATTATAGTTCCTCCCAAAGAATGCATTTCCAAGATTCATCTATGGTATCATCAAATCACAATGAAGATATTCATCCCCATACAATTAGGCATTCACCCCATCATTATTCTCAATGTGGAGAGGTATTAATTTGCAGTTTACATACTCCCTAGTTCATAAAATTTATGATTTTATGACAACATTCTTTACTCGATCTCTCTGTCCTGATTTGTTGGTCTTAATTTAGCTTACAGATCATGCAATAAACTAGTAAGAGTCAATATATTTTTATTGGGATAAGGGTCATATAGGGCCACGAACTTACAAAAAAATGTCAAATATGGTCTTATATAAGATGATCTGTCCGGCCGATGCCATTTGAGGCGGTTCCCGATGAAATTTTTTGATGAAGTTTTTTGAGAATCTTATTCATTAAGTCTAGTTTAGTCATACCAAATTTGAACTACAAATTCAATCGATAAGTCACTCAAATAAATTCTTGAAGATAACTGCGCTTTTAACTGCGAAGTTATTTTCAAGAATTCATTTGAATGCCTTCCCGATTGAATTTTTAGTTCACATTTGATATGAGTAAACTAGACTTAATGAATAAGATGCTCAAAAAAATTCATCAAAAAATTTAACCGGGAACCACCTCAAATGGCGTCGTACGTACAGAACATCCTATATATGACCTTATTTGACATTTTTTTGTAAGTTTGAGACCTCTGACCCTTATCCCATTTTTATTCAATTTTCAGAACGAAGAGTCAACGATTAGTATGATCAAGTAAATAGTAACCAAGACATGTGAATTGTGACAAAATGGGTAATACATCACAATTTATTAAGGAACTAGTATTAATTTCTTACCATTGATACTACCTCCGTCATAAATTATTTTTCTCATTTTCCCTTTTTAAAAGTTTTTGAGCTGCCATTCATTTAACTTTTTCTTACTCAAGCACAATCATACATTTCCACTTTATTCTCACTTTCTTAAACTCCGATCCAAATCAAACATTCAAACCGGGAAGAATTTTCCGGGACGGAGGGAGTATCTGTTAAGCACTGGCTAGTTAATCAATTGAGTTGATCTTTTTGCTCTTTTAATGAGCCTTTCACTAATGTGAATTACTACGACGTAATTTAGCGATTCAACCCAAATATGAATACAAATTGTATGAATATCAGGGTCGGGAACCTTTTATTTCTACAGAAGGTCTTGAGCAGCTTCACCGTTTCTTGTTTGTTCTTGCCATAACTCATGTTCTCTACAGTTTCATAGCCGTGGGCTTGTCAATGAGCAAGGTTTGCTTACACGTCATTTCATGTTTATTAGCTCAACAATTATATTGGGGTACTTAAATGGAAGTAAGGTTGTTTTCTATTCATTTAGTGTTTTCCGTCGGATTTAGCATTGAAGCCATAGTATTTAGGGTTTTGCAGATGATAGATTGAAAGGAATAGGGAGAGATCGATTATAGAAATCGATTAAGAAATATGAAATCGATTGTGAGGAATCGATTAGAGAAGAATCAGGATCGATCCTTAGTCTGATACCATGTAGAAGTGAAACGAATTGCAGAGATGAAGAAATTGCGGAAGTTGAATGAATTGTTCGAAGAAGAAGAAAAAGTTAATTGTCTGATACACTAGGTTAAAGAGGTCTATTTATACTAAAGGGCTAATAGACTCTAACAGGCTAAAATATATACAGTCCATTACAGTTTAGTAGCCCAATAAGAATAGGCCCAAATAATTATTCTTGAGATTTAGTTGTAAATAAGTTTTATATAAATGCAGATCTACAGTTGGAAGAAATGGGAAAATCAAGTGAGCATCGGGCCCGAGTCTAACAACTTACCAGGTATGCAAATTAAGAGGCTAACACTGATTTTCGGCTTATAGGCCAACTTTTTCACCAAACACGTGACTTTTGTTTTCACCCTCCGAATTGTGTAATAATAAGAAAAGGTAAGGTTGAAGTTACTTTTCTGACTGTATTGAATGAAGTTATTGTAGATGACCATTTTAGCTATTTTTACATATAACTTTTTCTTTATTTTATTAATAAAATATATTTTAAAAATAATTTTTTCTTAAATCAACAGAATCAGCCAATGCAGCCACTTCAGGCAGAACTTCATAAATTTCAGCAGAATCAGACGAATCAACCGATTTTTGTGTTACCAAACGGCCTCCAAGAGCAATGCTATTTACTTGCTAGTTCCATTTAAGAATATTTTTCAAGCTATAATAAGAGTAGCTCATGATTTTATACATCAAAGATTGTTCTTAAATTTCACCAAGATTTTTGACTTATCCCCCTACTAGAACTCTTGTAATTGACGTTGGTAAAGTATTCCTTAAAGAATTAGCCTTAATTTGGCCATCAAGATCGACTTCCTCACCTTATCTATTGTCTGGAGCTCTGTTAGGTTCTAAGGTTGATATTCATATTTGAGGTCTTATATATCATTAGAAGAGTATATCATAAATTTGAAAGGGGCTTCATATATTGTCTTTGTCTACCCTCATGCTAGCTAGCTTTCTCAATTTTGAATATATTGTTCATATATTTTAGCAGCAAAGTGTAAGGTGATGAGGCGACAATCAACTTTTGCTCTTAATCACACATCACATCCATGGGCTAGAAGTCCAATTTTAATCTGGATGGTAATTCTTCCCAACTACCTCTTTTTTTTTTTATCGATTTTCATCTCTACCCATTAAGGCATAATGACTCTAATTAATTTATAATCTTCAAATCAATTTTCCATTTCACCATTTGTGTTTTTGTGTCAAGCCTCCACATAGCTTAATACAAAATACAAACACTTATATTCGTTGGACGGTTGACTTATCTTTGTATTAAGATGATCTTGTAAGATGAAATCTCAGATTTTAACATGTCAATCAATTCTATCACAAAGTGACTTGTTGACGTAGATTTATTTTAGTCCTAGACTAGACCCAACCCAAATAAACTACATCAAAGTTGCATTAAACATCAGTATAACTCACATGTTAGACATTGAACTATTTCATTCACAAAGTTCACCTTATCACATTACATTGCAGCTTTGCTTTCTACGACAGTTCAGGAGTAGTTCCATTCAGAAGTCAGATTACTTGGCACTGCGTTTGGGATTTATTAATGTATGAAAAATTGCTCTCCTAAACCTTGTTTTACAATTTAATACGAGTATAAGAATAAGGGGAAACAACATAATGACATATTATGAATAGTGAGCAATGAAGAAAGGGAGGAATGTGATTTTGGTTTATAATTTTGCAGAATCATAAACTTCCGCTCTCCTATAATTTCCACAAATACATAATCCGTAGCATGGAAGATGAATTTTATGAAATGGTCGGGATCAGGTATATATGCACATGTTTTCAAGGTAGACCACTCAAAAAGCAAGCCCATATCTTACTCCATCACTTCCATAAAATTCTTCCAATTTTTCTTTTGGGGTCGTCCCAAAAAATTCTTCCCACTTATCATTTTTGGACAACTTGTGAGAATTTTTTTTTGGGACAGGGAGAGTATGAGGGTGTTTGGAACTGATTCTAATTCTGCTTCTTTTTTAAAGCAGAAGCAGAATCAGAATCAGTTTTCAGAAGCTGGTACCTCCAGCTTCTAAAAAAACTGATTCTGAGAGTAAATTAGAGCATCAGAAGTGCTTCTGGAATTTCACCCAAACACTCCAGCTTCTCCTTCTGCTCCCTGAAGGAGCAGAATTAGTTTTGAGAATCAGATCCAAACATCCCCTATATGCTTTACGATAACCACGTTACAATACTATTTTAAATCCAAATTGAAAGAAATCTAGCAACATAAAAGAGTTGGTGTATGATTTTTTTAACCTTAAAATCCAAAAGATAAGATTACAAAGTTTCTATTTTAATTTATGCAGTGGGTGATTTGTGGCTAATTTTTTGGATGTGAAATATATTTTTTGTCCTTGGCTTTTGCAGCTGGCCACTATGGGGTTATGCTATCATTTGCATGTTTGTGAATATCCATGGTAAGGGCTTTTTTAGTTCATTCTATAATGGGAAACTAACACGGGAAAATATATTTATACTTTCGAGCAAAATATATTTAATCACGTTTCTGGAAAATTTTAAACCTAGTCTTATTCTTGTCCTTGACTTCATTTAGCAGGGCCGGTCCCGGAGGGGACAACGAGGCGATCGCCCTAGGTCCGAAAATATATAGAGACAAAAAGAGATCCATATTTTTTTGTCCATATATTGTGAGAGTATGCTTCTTTTTTATTTTTAAGTTGAATTAATTAGGTCTAATGTTTAAATTTTGTTGAAAATTTGAGAAAAAAAGAACATAATTAAAATGTTTTAAATGCACCCAAGTTTAAAAAACAAATACATAGTATACATTAATTTTAAGTAAGAGCAGTCGTAGTTTTTAAAGCAATCAATCAATAAAAGACACGTCTTTTTTGTGTTCACATTTTTTAGTTTTAAATGTTTTTTTTTCCTTTTAAGCGAGTATTGATGATTTTGCTTCACATAGTTCTGCGATAAGCGATTTAAGTGATGTTTTTTCTTTTTACGTAATACTTGTTTTCTTATGTTTGCTCAAATATGTAATTTAAATAAAACTAAAGTGGTTTTGGCCTTTATTTTTTGACTTATTTGATATTTTTGTTATAATTCATATTTTAAATATGCATAGTTTACGTACGATTTATTTTATGTATAAGTTCAATATATTATATCTCGTCCATAGGCCCACAAATGGGCAGGACCGACCCTTTCGTTTAGTATTATTTTTGACAAAATCCCTCAAATCTCTGTGATATATGATGCAGGTCTTAATATCTATTTATGGCTTTCTTTTATACCGATCACTGTAAGTCTTCATCTTACATGATAAGTTTGTGCTAGCGTAAGAAAAACATCAACATACGAAGTATTTTTTATACGTTTAATGCTATAAAACATTTATTATGTTCAAGATTGTCATGGTGATTGGGACAAAACTTCAACATGTTATGTCCTTGTTAGCACTTGAAATTGCTGAACCAAAGGTTCCAGTAATTGTTGGAACTCAAGTAGAGCCACGCGATGGACTTTTTTGGTTTGGAAAACCAGAAATCTTGCTACGCTTAATTCAATTTGTATCATTTCAGGTAGTGTATTATGTTGTTTACAATATGTTGTTATTATTATTACTCTGTGTTATTGTTATTGTTGTACAATATAAGTTTCTAAAGGAGTTATGATTTATAATTTGAAACCCGCACGAGTAGCTCAGTTGGTCGAGTGTTGAGAAAATTGGACCAAGTGATCAAGATTCGAAACCCACAGCGCCGTGTGGAGATTACAGAACCTGAAATAAGGCTATTCAATTTATTAGCTAGGCTGGTTTTGGAGAGTAGTAAGAATATATTTTTGAGAGGTATTGGGGGAGGAGAGTTGTTATTGTTATGAGAAATAAATTTGTTTGATGTACATTTCATTTATTAATAAAATACCACATTAATTATTATCTATGGTGATGCAAACACATGTTTAATTTAAGTTCAACTATTCAAAGTAAGTTTAATTTAATTTCACCATAAATTTAATTTAATTTGTACTTAGAGATACTTCATTTTATACTGCTCAGCTATAGTATTTAGACAATTGCAAAAGAATTATCTACAACAGAACTCTAGACCGGGAACTATAAATGAATTTCCTTATTAATTTTACAAATTCAAAATTCCACTCTAAGATTTGCCACTTCTTCAATAATGCCACATTTGAGAGTTTTGCACTTTTGACTGTTGACTAATTCCTTTTTCATATTTTTTTATTGTCTGAACAGAATGCATTTGAGATGGCGACATTTATCTGGACTTTGGTGAGAGTTCGTAATTTGTGAAATATAATACTAAAAAACCATTGTTTTTGTATGTTCAATATTTTTACCAAAAAATATTTTTACGTTTGGCAGTGGGGATTCCAGCATCAATCTTGCTTCGTGAAAAACCACTCATTGTTATCCCTCCGATTGACTTCAGGGTGCATACGCTTACTTTATCAATTTATCTTCACATTAAGTCTTATTCCCTCCGTTCTGCTAAAATTATCTCATTATTTTTTTTTGGTCCGTCATACTAAGATTCTCCCATACCAAATATAATAATATTTATATGAATTTAAATCGTTATTAATCTATTCTTAATTTATCAATTTAATGGTCATTTGGTCACACTGAAATTGGTTGAATTGACTAGTTCTGCTGAAATTTATGAAATTATGGCTGAAGTGTCTGGATTTCCTGATTCTGCTGATTTATGAAAAAATAATATGTAGTATTAAAAATATTTTTTATTAAAAAAATAAAGAAAAAGTTATATGGAAAAATAGTTAAATTCATCCTCTACGATAACTTCAGCCAATACAGGCAGAAAACTTTTTCTTATTATTACCCAATTCAAGCCTTATTTATGAGGCTCTGTCCGGCCTTCGCCATTTGGGTTCGTTCTCGGTGGAATTTTTTGATGAAAGTTTTTGTGCATCTTATTCATTAAGTCTAATTTACTCATACCAAATTTAAGCTAAAACTTTAATCGGGAAGCTATTCAAATGAATTCTTGAAGATAATTGCGCAGTTAGAAGCGCAATTATCTTCAAGAATTCATTTGAATGCCTTCTCGATTAAACTTTTATCTGAAATTTGGTATGAGTAAACTAGACTTAATGAATAAGATGGTCAAAAAAATTCATCAAAAAATTCCACCGAGAACCACCCCAAATGGCGAAGGCCGGACAGAGCCTCGTAAATAAGGCCTTATTTGACCTTTTTTGGTTAGTACGTGGCCTTATTTGCCCCTTTTCCCCACGAAATCAAAAGTTACGTGTTGTTGAAAAAATTGCTGATAAGCCTGATAAACCGAAATACAGGGTTACCAAACGGGCTCTTACCGTGAACCACACAAGCTTACATTTTTAGTAACTACCACCTTCCCTTGCACCAAATTTAACGAGAAGAAAGTGTTATTTTGAGTCAATGGTTGAGGATTTGTAGTGTCAACTGACAAAAGTACTCGCACGGGTAGCTCAGTTGGTCGAGTGGTGGGAAAATTGGACCAAGTGACCAAACTTTCAAACCCGCAGCGGTCGTGTGGACTGTGGAGGTTACAAAAGTTGAAATAAAGCTGGACTTCTGGTGCGCACGTGTATAAGGTTTGCCGCCGCTTTGGTGACTGAATCACCGTGATTAACCTCCGCACATCATGTCGGGTCGGGGTGGGGGCCTTAGGGTCGGACATTCAACCATTTGGACCAAGTAATTGACAAAAATTGGTCAATACCACAAACTCATGAAAAAGGTAGAGTTTCACACTCTGTTTTCCAACTTTCTATGTGCTTAAAGTTTGCAAAATGCAGGGTTCTTGTCCAACTATGGTGTAGCTATAGCACCATTCCGTTGAATGTTATCATCTCGCAGGTCTGCTAAAATAACACAATGAGTTTTCAATGTTTGGATCTAACCATTAGGATGATGTTTTGATCTTACCCTAAAAGTCATCTACTGTATGTGGGATAAAATCAGATGGGGTCTCGGTGCAGAAAGGCTCTCATAGCTGAAAGCGTCCGCGAGTCACTTCAAATGTGGTGCAAGAGAGTTAAACAAAGATCCAAACGCGGCACATTGACTACCACCACATCCGCACATTCATTCCAATCAATAATAGAGGAAAGAGATGAGGCAACCACTATGACATTATCTCCTAGCTCCTCTCTGCAATCCCTAAATGCTATTGATAAGGATGGTTCCACAAATCAACATCGATCGGGAAATGGAGATTCAGAGATAAGCTATACATGATGATTTCTTACATTTTGTAGAGAAAAAAGAATGGACAAAATACATGGAAGCCTTTAAGAAATCGAGGAAGCTGATTAGGAGTTAAGTTGTTAACTTATGTATCTGTTGAGCATTTTCTAGATCAGATAAGATCTTCTCTGTCGGTATCAAAGGTATCCTCATTCATGAGATATTATTAGAGGAGGATTATGGTGATATGACTGATTATTTTTTCGAGCATGATTGAGCGGGAGGATTATTTGGCAGGATTATTTGATAAAACATTCTCATATCAAAATATGAATAGAAATTGTCCAATATAGGAGTAAATATAAACATAATTGCATAAATAGGAGTAAAATTTAAAACTTCCTTCAATAGGAGTAAACATTAATTTTGTACCCTTAATATCCCTAACCTAGTTAATTCTAAAATATGACTTATTTAATCCTGACCTAGTTAATTTATGATTTATTCGATAATAATAATTTATTTATTTTTTTATTATTCAAAAAATAAAAAAATATAATTTTTTTAAAATAATAAAAAACTCAAAAAAATAAAATAAAATTCACCGCCTACTCTTCCGCCTCAGCACCACCACCTCCAGCCACCAGGGGAAAAAATGTTTTTCCCAAAGAGAAATATGTCATGTTTTTGGCATTTTCAGAAGAAAAAAGATAGTTTTTAGGAAAAATAGATTTTTTTTTCACCGCCTGGAGGTGGTGGTGCAGGCAGGTAGTACAAGCAGTGGGAAAGGCATCCATATTTTTTTAATTTTTTTATGGAGTTTTACTATTTTTTTATTAATTTTAAAAAAAATAAAAAATTTAAAAAAATATATATTTTTAAATTTTTTATTTTATTAATATTTTATAATTTTTTTAATTATTTTTCTACGATTTTTTGAATCTTTTTCGAATTTATTATGAATTAAACATTTAATTAAAAGTTGTTGGGACTTGGGTAGGGGTATATTTGTCCAAACACTAAAATTACTCCTATTCAAAACATGGTACTCCTATTTTTGCATTCTGCCTATGTTTTGCTCCTATTTGGATAAATATGAATATAGATTATTTGTGAAATTGGATATAACTAGTTAATATAGGACCTGTGTAAAAAAAGATTATTCCAAGATGATGATCGATTGATCTAATTAAGAGGACGTCTTAATGTGTAATGATGTTGATTAACATGCATATATTTCATAGCTTACGTAAAGAATGGATTTGATTGATATTTTAATTGACATCTTAATGTGATGGAATGATAATATATCATGGCTTAATGGTTAAGTAATTGAGTCCCGCTTCATGTACACGCCGGGTTACACGTCGGTCAAATTGTCTGTATACAGATAATTTGATCGGCTAGACAGACAATTTGACCGGCATTCTATGAAGAAAATCGATTTCCATACAGACAAAATATCAAGAGTTGTTTGTATCACAGTCATTTTAAACCTGATTTTTTCATAAAGTGTCTGTGATACAGACATTTTTTTTTGTCTGTGTGAAAATCGGGTTTCTTCGTAAATCGCCGCTCAATATGTCTGTGTAGTCGATCAAATTGTTTGCACACAGACAATTTGACAGACGTGTAACCCGGCGAGTAAAACTTGACGTGTACAAAAGGAATTTTTCTAAGTAATTTACCGAATGAATAAGTAGTATTTTCAATGAATAAGTGAATATGATTTAATAGATAAATGATTAAGTCACCGTCCCTAGTAAGTCTTTAGGATGTTTTTGATTGATCTGAATTTTTTATCTGATCTATTTAATTTTGATCTTGCCAGAACTCGTATGATCGGATGATGGTTTGTTTTATATGAAGTATATAGTTTACTACTGTGGAAATTTACACAAGCATAATTTGAGGTTCTTTAAGCTCTTGTCCTTCGTCTGATAACCACACATATAAATTTTTTCACTCAAGCATGGACATAGAGTTTTTCTAAGATGCTCAGTGGTACAAGTGTTAAGGTTTTCAAATGGTCTAAGCCAAGAAGCACATACAAGTTGAACACGGATGCTCGCTTCTAGCCGTTCTAGGGGTGGGCAAAAGACCCGGTCCCGTTGGTCCGTTCCGAAATGTTCCGGTTCCGTTTCGAAATTGTCCCGTTAAATTCGGGATAAACTAATTTTGTCCCGTTCCGGTCCCGAACCGTTTCAAAACAAAACGGAACCGGGACAAATAAAATATGTCCCATTCCGTTGTTCTGAATTCAAAATTGTATATAGTTGTGGGTTAGTGAGTCTACCATCAATTCAAATACCGATGAATATTAATTAGGTATTAGTTATCTAATATGTAAAACACCTAAAGGAGTCTAAATTATATCAAGTATGAACTATCTTCTACATACTAAAAAGAAACTAGCGTATACTTCACATGTTTCACTTCTAATAATATTATTTGTCTTTTTTTTGTAGTTCCTTAGTAGTATTGTGTGTGTTGGAGTTATTGTTGTTATTACGGTTTGTTTCGTGCAACTGACCTATTAATTTACTATACTTTGTGTTGCATTTATCGTAAATTTTTGTATGCGTTGCATTTTTAGTGTTGTAGTTTTTGTCATGAAGTTTCTTTTTGGAACTGTATTTTTTTTGCTGCAATTTTTTGGGATGTCCCGAACCGTCCCGTTCTGTTCCGGTACCGATTTAAAAGGGACAATAGCAGGACAACATCTCGTCCCGTCCCGTTCTGTCTCGTTATCCTAAATTGGGTTCGGGACCAGGATAGTCCAATTCCCGCTCCGTTCCGTCCCGCGCGTGCCCACCCCTACTCGCTTCTTACATGACACTGGGGGAGGAGGGGCGATTCTTAGAGGCAAAAGAGGAACCATGATTGCAACTTGCAACGATTTCTTTTACTTGGCGTGAAAATAACTGGGCTGCGCATTATGTGGCCAAATCTTTTACGACCCAGTTACATAATTATTATCAGCCTCCTGATCTGCCAATTTTGGCTACAAAAGCTTATTATATGGATTTAATGGGTATTACTTCTTTTAGACGTTTCTATTAATTATTTTAATTGGGTTAGGTTTGATCCCCCAATTGTTCTTTTCATTTTGTTTATTTGTATTTCTTGGAGGTATGCCTCCTTTGGAAAAGTTTTGGTCTAATCCCCTTTCCATCGTACTCTCTCTGTCCCTTAAAACTTTGCCAAGTTTGACCGACACGAGAATGAATAAAGTAAAAACTGTGTGATTGAAGTTTGCGTAGAGGAGAGAGTATTAACTGGAAACAGAAATTCTTTACTTAAAAGTGAAAATGACAAAATTAGTGGGACATCCAAAAAATAAAAGTTGACAATGTTTTAAGGGACGAAAATAGTATTTTTTATGCTATTTAATAAAATACGGAAATTCCCTGAAAAAAATATGATTAAATCTGATTTGACTGATATGATATTGATATCAATAAGATTAAAAAACATCCCAAGTCACAAACAAATAAACAACCCATAGTTTGTTGACACTAGATTTTCAACCCGAACGTTGCATGAGCATAAAATTATTTTAAAATACAAACTTTTGCCATATTTCTGTGAAATAATGGGACATGATACTCTCTAGGAGTCCTGGCAGATATATTTATAATAAAGAATAGTTTAATATAGAGTACAATACTGATCCTATAATAATTATATTACACCCCCTCAAGCTGTGCGGGAGATACAATGCGCAAGTTGTCTTTTAAAAAATGAAAACGCTGACTACAAAGACTTTTTGTAAATATATCTGCCAACTGTAAATGAGTAGGAACATGTTGGACAATCAAATCTCCATGAGCAACACGTTCACGAACAAAGTGGTAGTCAATCTGTATGTGTTTACTTCGGGCATGCTGAATAGGATTGGCAGTCAAATAGGAAGCTGAGACGTTATCACATAATAGATGAACAGGTTCGGTTATGGGAAAACCGAGCTCAAATAAAACTGATCGGATGTGCAACGTATCCTGAATGGTATATGCAATGACGCGATACTCTGCCTCTGTAGAAGATTTGGACACAGTGGGTTGCTTCTTCGATTTCCAGGAGATGAGGTTAGGACCCATAAATACTGCATAACCTGTGGTTGACCGGGAGGAGTCCGGACATCCTGTCCAATCCGCATCTGAATAAGCTAGAACACACGTGGGTTTTGCAGAACGCTAAAGCCATAAACCATGGTCTCGAGTGGCCTGCAAGTACCTGAAAATTCTCTTGACTGCAAAAAGGTGAGTAGTTCGGGGAGCATGCATAAACTGAGACACCAAGTGTACTGCATAAGTAATATCCGGTCGTGTCACATTTAAATATTGTTAGGTATTGGCCCGGTTTTGTTTGTCAGCTCAGTTCATTTGAGATTAACCTTGGCCCATGTCCTTACTCTCTCTTCCCTGCGCTTTCCTTGTGCGTCTTTCTCTTCCGCTTCGCCAGTGCCTTCGGTTTTTCCTCTGTATGGTAAGTTACCATGTATGAGTTTTGAGCTTAGCCTATTTAATCTCCCTTGTCCGCTGCTATTTCGTAAGGCCGAAACTCTTGCTTCTCTGATTATAGCCTCTCTGTGGGTGCTCCTACGAACTGGCCGGAAATAGCCGCTGGCCGACGCCCCTCTCTCCCCTGGTTGAGCCTTGTGTGTGAAATTCATCCTTTGTGGATGAAAGTGGTTGAGACCTGAGCTGGATATTGAGTCCTTACAGTGGTATCAGAGCCAGCCGCCGCCCGCCGCCGTCTCGCCGCCGTCGTACGCCGTCGCCGGAGGTCCAGGAGTGTCGCCGGAGGTCCAGAGAGGTCTGCCGCCGTCTGCCAGGAGCCTGCCAGTCCAGTCCGCTGCCGGTCCAGACCTGCTGCCGCCAGTCTGGGAGCTCTGCCGCCACGCTCTACAGCAGCCCACGCTGCCTACGGTAAGTCGGGTAACCCAACCTCGGGCCCCGCTCAGGTAAATTGGCGTTAACCACCCTTGGTGTACCGGAGTGCCACCGGATTTATCTTGTTCCCCGCTCCCCGCTGCTGACCTGCGTGGTCTTGGATGCCGGCTGTGCCCGGCCCCAGGTACGTTTACTAATCCTTTGTGTGATTTTTATTCGTAGTTCATTTATTTTAATTTCAAGTTGAATTACAATTACTTGTTTGTTTAAATTGTCATTACTTGTTGGTTTGTGATTAATTTTTTTCGGTGAAGAATATTTTTGTTTGGATACTCGTTGTCCGAAGTTGTGAATATTTCTTCCGGTTTAAATTTAATCACATGTTGGATTTTTTATTTTGATTTTTTCTGTTGATTGATTCGTGGATAAACTC